GGAGGGAAGGGGAGAGAAAGAGTGCCCTGCTGCCTTCGCTTGGAATTCGCAGTGACCTTGCTAATTAAAACCTAATTGTGAGAGAGTAACATGTCGGTGCTCCCCTTTGAAAACTGGCACGGATCCCCACTAATTTAAAAGTTGTCACTTATAACCCCAAGAAACGAGCTTATTAAAATGAACGCTAATGGAAGTTTCCGTTGCTGAGAGATGACAGGGCAGAGGATTGAGAGGAGGAAGGAATGAGTGTCTGTGTCTGGCGCTGCCTTTCATTATCAGAGGAGAAGCCCTGACAGCAAGAACAGCGTCAGGAGGACGAAAACAGAACGAGGGTGGCAGGAACCACATTCTCCTCGCTCATTAATATGGATCAGACGTAGCTTCCAGCCACCGGGGGCCACAGAGAGGTGGGCTCTTCTGTTCAAGTGTATTAATTTTAAATAAGCTTAGGAAGAGAGCTTCAAGGACAACGCGGTTTGGTCTATCTTATTTCACTTTTTATGCGACTGTTGGGAAGCCCCGTTAGTCCGGCACAAGGCAAGAGAGTAGATTATTCTTTAAACAACTGAAAAATTTAGTGAATGCATTAACCTATCTTCTCAGCGAGTCACCCAAATAACACTTGGAAGCTCACGCACACACTTTCACACTTCAAAACGCTTTTCACCTTCTGTCTTCCCATGCTGCCTGTGGCCACCCGACCTCAGAAAACTCATGAGTGCTACCGTTTAATATCCCACACTTCCCTTTCATCTAAGCAGCAGGCAAAGCCAGCCCCCCCTCTGCGAAGCCACCAAGAGAGACCTGGATGACAGTGGAAAGGAAGGTCCCTCCCACCCACCTCAAGCTTCCTCCTGATTGGCTGGGTGCCTGTCTGTCACAGTCAAACCCAGGCAGGGTTCCTACCTCATTTCTGCCCAAATCCTTCTTCTCAGGGCCTGGAAATCCAGAGAACCCAGAGGGAAAAGTCCCCTGCTTTGCAGAATGGCTCAAATCTGGATGCTGGCTGTGTCGCTTCCCAGCACTGCATCTTTGAGTAATGAAAGTCAATTTTCTGGTCTTCAGTCTCCTCCTCTTTGTCAAGTTGCTAAAAGTGTCTTCTGGAGGTTTCAGGAGAGCCTTAACAAACTCCCTCTCACAGTGGCCCTGGGCCAGCCACTCACTTTCCTGGGCTTCTCTTCCTTCCGCTTCCCTTTGGCACTGGTCCTCATCCGGGAGTTGTGTCATCTCGCAAGCCCTTCCTCACACATTGGAAGGCATTGCATTCATCTGTCTGAACCGTTCTTCCCTTTGTCATCATACTAACAGAGTCATTTATGGAATCCTTTGGGGAGGCGATTCCCTAGCAAGCACTGTGTTGAGTACATTCTACTCACAGCCTGAGGTGTCCAACCCAACAGATTTAATGGATAGAACAGAAGAGGGTGAGAGAAGAAAAGAGGGAGCAAAGTCAGCCAAAGAAATGCAGAAGGAAGTGGAAGTGCTAACAGGGGTTTTATTGGGCCTTGACCCAAATAAAGCTGGGGCCACGCCAGCTCCTGCCGTGAGATGTGTTGAGAACAAACAGTTTGCAATGATTCTTAACCTAGAAAAAATCTTAGGGATCGCCCACTACATCCAAATGCTTTACATGTATAGAAAATTAAAGCATGGAAGTTTCAAGATTGCTCTTAGGACATATATGCTAAATAGCGCACCCAAGATTTAAACTCTAGTTTCCTACTTTTACGACAAAGTTCCTCTCCCTAAACCTTTGTACCTCCTAGGTTACTAACATAAGCAGCCTTCGTCCATCCATTCTCAAGAAGTTACCTTTAATTTAAGATACTTGCCTATCTTCTCATATTTGATGGAATTCCTGAGGTAAGATCATCTGTCACGTTTCACCAAGATCAGATCTCAATGTCCCCAAAACCCCCCTGAAGCACTTAGGTATCCGTCACCCAAGGCCAGCTCCACACTGGTCAACAGAGTGAGCTGCTAGATGACAATATAAATCCAAAGAACAAACCTGTCTTTCCAGAAATTTTCACTACCTAAAAAACTTTTTAAAGATCACTTTTTTAGGAAAATGACTTTTAGACAGACATCATATTAGGTATCTCAATACACCTCCTCTCATTTAAAATTAGGTCTTCAATATATATTTTTGGATGACAGAATGAAACTTAGGGACTGCTGTCCACACTTTCAATCAACACAGGACGCAAGTGTCCCGGGAAATGAGTAACTGGTTAGCACACAGCGCGGCTGGATTCCCACCCAAGCTTCTTGGAGAACAAGCCCATTTGCCGCCATCTCTGTTGGACACTGTTTCAGCTGCTTCTCGGGGTAAAAGGCCTTACTGGGGAAGGTGCTCATTTCTTAAAGGATTCTCAGAGCAGGAACTTATCCGTCATCACACAGTGAATCCGGGAGTGATCAGGAGTTGACTGGAGCCCCTGATGCCAACGCCTTGGAGGGCTTTGATTGACAGGAGGGAACAGAATAGCTGTGCAATCTGCTGCAGGCCTGTCCACCAGAGCAGGCGGCCACACGGAAGAGGGGAAGATGAGTAGAGATGGCGCAGCTCACTCAGGGATTCTCTGCAGACCAGCCATCGTTTTCAATGCGAAGTGCTACTCCGATCTGTTTTTGAGGCCTTCGATTTTAGGATTTCAATGCTATTTTCCCTCTGAAAGGTCATTAGAGAGTACGTCAGAGAGAGAGAACTTGGTCTCCGGCTCAGTGTGCTGCTTCTATAAGTGTGCCCTCCTGAAAATAAACTACATCTGGCAACCACTCGTGTGAATTACCTAAATAAAAGACTCACACTGTTAATGGAGCACTTTTGTACTAGAAAAAGAAACCATTAGATTTGGTGTTAAAAGAAACTACTACTGTCACTCACTTGATTGATTGCATCTTTTATTAGTTCTTCACCGAATTATTTTATGGTATTTCTCTTTTTAATCTGCTCCCCTTTGTTGGGATATTAAGAATGTATATTTTGAAGGGAGTAGTAAAAAAAAAAAATGTTGAGAAGTATCAAATCTGAGAGGATAAAAGCCTTTTCACGAGTAGCATTATGAACAGATCTGTCCTGTGGAGCCGGGAATGTAGGTGTACATTTCAGGGAGTGAGGATTATGTTGTAAGGGAAGTGGAAGTCTAAATTGGAGCTTTGGGTCTGGGGAAAGAAAGGGAGCGAAGGCAAAGGAAAGTAAGTGTGGGGCACATATCAGAGCCATTAACACCGAGGCCTCCCTCCTCGCCGCCTCCCTGCTAATGGCTTCTGAAGTGGCGTTTTCAAGGACCAGGTGTAAACTCCGCTCAGCAGGGCTTGCTGGTCCAACCCCCTCCCTCTTTTATCACCTGGCAGAGCCCATGATCCACCTGGCTCACGCACCACACAGCGTCCTGAGCTTGGATCCATGGAGCTGTGTCACAGGGGACCCTGCTGCAGTGGGGCAGGGGGAGCATCTGTGTACCTGGAGAAGGAGGTGCTCAGGGCAGGATGGAACAGACCCCAACGATGCCCCAGCAAGAGGAGTGTGAGGAGAGCGTTGCCCGCTAGATATGTGCGTGGAGATGGGAGCCCACAAGGCTCAGGGAGGCAGCCGATAATCATCGCGACAGGCTGTCAAGAGTCCATTTTCCCCTTTCCTGTTCTGCACGCTGACCCTGAACTGGGTGGCATGTTCATTTTCTATGCCTCTCCACACAACATCGAGGCCAGCAGAGCCTCGGCTCCAAGCTGTGCTAAGTAATGAGCGCCCGCCTTTGACAGTGGTGCAAATCGCCTGCTTGTGTTTGTAAGTGCTGTGCACAGACAGGCCCACAGGGAGGCTGTGGGTGCCGTGCTGCTGAGGCACGGAGGGCTGCAGGTGAGCAGGGAGAACCCATTAGCAAAATCTCCCCATTCTTCCTGTTTGGCTGCCAGAGGCCACTGAGCCCAGCAAGGATGGGCACAGGCAGAGTGAAGCTGTTGCCTGACTCTACTTGGAGGAGCACCTGCTCCCACCAGATAGTCCCAACTCACCAACCAAAGCTAACCTTGGATTCTGAGGATTCATCACTGTCCAGGTTGAACTCCCTGAAAACAGACCCTGAGATAAATATTTTTGTGAATGTGACTTATTAGGAAAAGACAGTAGACAGAGAGTGGGGACAACAAGGAGAGGAGCCTGAGGTTGGCAGAATAATGTCCCCTGCCCAGATGTCTACTCCTAATACCCAGAACCTATGGATACGTTGCCTTCTACAGCCAAAGGATTTGAGATTCTAGATGGGATGATCGTTGCTGAACAGCAAACCATGGGGTATGGAGGTGACCCTGGAGTGTGTGGATCACAGTCTGATCACAGGATGAGAAGGGAAGCAGACGAATAGGCCAGGGAGAGGCAGCAGGAGGAGCAGAGGCTCTGTGCTCTGGGGGTCGAAGGTCAAGTACAAAGACTAGAGAGAGGCCTCCAGAAGCTGAGAGAGGGCCCACCTGACAGCCAGGCACAAAAGAGGACCTCAACCACATGAAACTGAACTTTGCCCAGCACCTGAGTGAACAGGAGAAGATTCTCCCCCAGATCCTACAAAACGAGTATGTCCCAGTCAATGCCTTTTAGCGAGCAAAACCCCATCAGGACTTCGGATCTGCAGAAATACAGAATAGGACGTCATAAGTTTCTGCCGCTTTCAGTCTCGAAAGTTGTGATGATTTGTCTCAGCACTGACAGGGACACTAACGACACCAACGGAAAATATGACATCAAGAAAGTGCTGTAGAGGGTAGCTGTTAGCTCTACGCCCTGGAGGAAACAGCGCGACACTGTAAGTCACACCTACGGGGGCCAGAAAGCGGGAAGCCACTGTCCGGCATCCTCGAGCATTGCTAGGACTAGGAGCACAGAGTGCAGGAGTCAATATAATTTCCAGAAATTTTCCACCCCTGCACTGGAAAGCCTTTCACAGCCCACAACTTCCAGCAACGAGGGGCAGGCACTGGCTGCAAGGAGCCAGCAGTGAGATCCAGCGTGCAGCAAAACGGGAAGGGATCCCAGGGATGCAGGCAGTGTGCTGAGACAGACGGTCTGCCGTGGCCCTCCATCAAAATAAAGACACTTCCTCCAAGAATCCACCTGTAAATGAAGCCACCGACTAGCTCAGGAGCCATGCTACCAGCCTTGAAATCACCAGAACTTGCTCAAAGTCCAGCTGTTATTTGTGACCACGATTGAATCACCTACTCTTTTTAAGCCTTAGTTTCTTGGGGTGGGAAATGTGAATTACCAATGGGCAACTCGCTTGCCCAGTCTCCATGCAGATATAGAAAATGGCTGAACAGCAAACTCTTGCCCAGTGCCTGGCAATTAGCTAGTGCTGGTTCTCTTCCTCTTTGCTCCTGAGACTTTGGACTCAGAAGCGAACACACTTGACTTGGCATCGGACGGAGCGACATTGAGATTTAACCTGCATCTCAGCATCTTGCATTTTTATGTTTTCCCTCACTTTAGGAACATTCCAGATCCTTCCCATCTTTACAAAAGCCCTCTTTCCTGTTTTGAAGCCCCTTCTAGATACTGAGATCCTCTTTATTTCTGTAGCCAGGCTTTTTAAAACAATCTTCTGCACTCCTTTCTCTATCATCGCATCTTCCATTTTCTTTTAAATCCACTGTTTCCAACTACTACATGGCACAGTGGTGTGGCTGAGAAGGCTCTGTGATCTGGGCCCCCACTGCTTTGCTGGTCTTATCTTTACTCTTGAAATATCTCCCACTGTTTGCCAGATCTACTGGGCTCAGGTAGCATTGCACACTGCTGACCCCTCACTATGGAAATGCATCCCCCTCCCCACTTCTGGACTGCCTCTTCTCAGGGTCTACCCATCCCTCCTGCAGCCTTTCCCTCCCGCTTCCCTCAGAAATGCTGAATGCCCCCCATCTGCAATCCTCTTTCCAGTTCCCACTTTAGAATCTCCACGGAATGTTCCTCAGAGCAGCAGCCAGTGTGGACTGGTATTTCCAGGTGCCAGCCCTGGGACCAAGAACTTTCATGCTTCATAAGGGAACTACTGTGTGTCCTCGAATTCTACAGATAAGAAAACCAAGTCTTAGGGAGGTGAGGGAACTTTCCCAGAGTGACACAGCCCCTAAGGGCTGCAGCTGGGACTCAGATTGGAAGCCTGACTCACACCCACTGTTTCGTTGGGCCTTGGTGCCTGGTTCCCATATCCAGATGAACATTTTCCACTACCAAAAGTGTGCCAGTGACCAGCACATCTGCATTTCTAGTCCAATATCTCCACTGAGCTGCAGACGGATGAGCTGCCTTCTTCCTCGACACAGTCCCTCAGGGTCCCACTGGCTTTTTTCTCTGCTCC